CATCTCCGAGGGCTGTGTGTGTTCCTGCCAGCGTCACTGGCAAATCAGTCTCCAGCTTGAGCAGCGAGCTTTTTATAGGCTGCATCACTGCAGCGAGGAAAGAACAGTTGGGGAAGAAAGCCCCCCCCCCTTCCGAGGGAGCCTTTGCTGGTTCCCTGGCCTCTCACTGGGCAGGTGGGAATCCAGTGGGAGCCGAGACCGAGGAGGAGAATGAGGAGGTGGGCTTTGCAGCAGCTCCTGGCCTTTGCCAGCCCTCAGCCTTCCCTCTGCTCATGCTAGGCAACCCTTGGCAACCCTTGATTAATGCCAGCTCTCTCCCTCGCCACACGCCGATCTTCTGGGCAGCCTGGCTCCAGCGATGCCTTCCACAAATGCGGGCGCATTCGCCTGTGACTTCCCGGGAGACCCTAGTGAGGAAAACCCCCTTTTGAAGCACACATGCTCCCTTCTTCCTGGGATTCCCACCTGCATGGCTGCTATTCTGCCCCAGTTCAATGTGGTTACATAGATTGAGCTTCTGCAGCCAGCTCTCGAAGGTTCCAGCCAAAGCCTTCCTCCTCTTTGCCCAGATCCCTGTAACTGGCGCGGTCCAGACCTTTGCCACACCCAGGAGATGCTCCGTCCCATTGTTTGGCAGCATGGCATTTAGGGAAGGAAAGGTCTCAGAATCCCTAAGTGAACAGAGGGCCATTCTCCTCCCCTCCTACCCCCCCCGTCCAAATCCCAGCCCTCCCACACGATCTGCTTGTCCCACTCTGGAGCTGCTCTTCCAACCCAAAACACATCCGCCAAACGATGCAGTTACCTAGATGGGATTTCTGGCCCAGCTGATCCCACTTCAAAGGAAGAAATATTAAAATCCTCCTGGATGGGAGGCACTTTCTCTCTTAGCAATAGGGTTCGATGAACAACGGACCCAGCAAAACAGAGGCATGCTTTGCTTTTACAGCACTGCTTCTCTCTCTCTCGCTCTCTCTCTCTCTTTTTAAAAAAGCCCACCCCTACATATATCTTCCACAGCAGAGTTCCCAAAAGAAGCAAAAGACTGATGTCTGTGCTTTGTTACCCTTCAACAGTATGTATGTATGTATGTATGTATGTATGTATGTATGTATGTATGTATGTATGTATGTATGTATGTATGTATGTATGTATGTATGTAGGTAGGTATGTAGGTAGGTAGGCAGGCAGGCAGGCAGGCAGGCAGGCAGGCAGGCACGCACGCACGCACGCACACACGCACACACGCATGCACACACGCACACACAAACACATGCACACACACAGACAGAGAGACAGACAAACAGAGACAGACAGATCAATCATGCAGGTGGGTGGGTGGCAGCCTCTTTAGTCTCTGCCAATATGCTTTGAGCCAAGCTCAGCGGCCATCATTCGGAAGATGTAGGCGGGCCTTTGCACTTGCTGACAAGCAGTAGCATCTCACTATGGGATGTCTGTCCTGCAGCTGTTCTCCTTGGGCTTGAAAGACGCCTCTGCAGCCGCTTAACCTCTGTTGGCCTTGGCCGCTTGATGAGCTATCAAGCTGCTTCCCGTCAGTGCAGAAGACTCTCCCTGCCAGTTTTCTTTCGGGAGGGGTCTCTCATCCCATCCACCCATAGATCTCCCTCGCCACCACTAACCCCCCCCACTTCCTTCACTGCTGTGGGAAAGGAATTTGATCTTGGCCGATCCTCAGAGCATCCCTCTCTCTCCCCCTCCCTTCTTCTCCCCACCCCCCCTCTCTGCCTAAATCAAACTCCTTCACCACAACTTTCCTGGGACATTCTGTAACTTCTGTGTCTTTTATAATATCTGTGCAAGTAAAGAACACGCTATGGGGTGCCTGGTGCCACATCCTTGAAAGCGGCCCTTGTTAAAGAAATACCTTGAGAATTCTTAGGGCTCAGAGAGAGAGAGAGAGAGAGAGAGAGAGAGAGAGAGAGAGAGGCACATGTGCAAAACTCTCGGTAACCCTTGCGTTGCCATTTCTTGTTAATTTCACTTGCTGGTTCCTTGGTTTTAAAACAATTTAAAACAAACGATGCAAGAGTTTAGAAACAGTTTCAGTAAAGGGAAAAGGGGTGGGTTTGTTTTTTTTTTGGCTCCCTTACCTTCAGAGTGATGCGACAAAGTGAGGAGGCTGACGCAGGAGGCGCCGATGCCTGAACCGAAGACGGTGATGCGCAAGGGGTCGCCCCCGAAGAAGGCAATGTTCTCGCTGATCCAACGCAACGCCTGGATCTGGTCCAGGAGCCCATAGTTGCCCTTAGCAGCCTGGTCCCCTGTGCTCAGGAACCCTGCAGGCAAGCGGACGGGAGTCACTCAGCACCGCCCTGGATTCCGGACAACGCAGGTCCACCCTGTAGCCATCGCCCCCCCACACCTCCCACATCGGGGGGCACAGGCCGGCCGGCCCCAGTTTGTGAATGGCAAAGGGGCAAAGCTTCTCAGCAGGACCCCCACCCTTTCGAGGGGGCCCGTGTCCCTACACAAAGAACCGCAGTAACACAAGTGACTGTTGGGAGAACCTGCCTGGGGAAAACGGGTCGTCTGAGGGACGCATCTCGAGAACAAATGGCACCTTTTGACCACAAGCTGAGCAACGGGCTGGTTTGTCCTTGGGAGGGTCACCCGGGGACCTCCGTCGGCATGAAGAGGGATGGGCTAATTGCCAGAAACAGGCCAAGAATTTCCTGGTCTGAGGCAGAGCTTGGAAAAGTTTTGGACCTGAAGTAGCCATCCTGGGTTGAGGATGGAGCCCATAAAAAGCGCAGGGCTCCCAAGGTGTAGACAGAGGCTTCACAGCCCAGCCATCTCTGGTCTGAGAGGCCTCAGCCTCCGGGGGGGGGGCTCCCTCCCCTTTGCCCCCTTGGGCCAGCTGGCAAGGAAAGCACAGGCTTCCCTCCTGGCAGGGGGACACACCGTAGACCCATTTCTGCTAAGGTGGGTTTTAACTGTTTCACAGGAATCTCTGCCAATGAGATTTGACATTTTATGTGCATCGCATACAAATACGAGGGCATTTATCAGTTAGACTCAAACTTTGCAACTGCCTCCTTTTGGAAATAAGGAAAGCAGGCTTTAATTTTTGTGTGAACCCTATTGGCTTCAGTCACACCCACGCATCTCGGCACAGCGATGCAAAGACCTTCCTGTCTGAGGAACAAAATGCACGTGGGGATGCGCAGTTTCCTTGGGGCTCAGCAGAGCAGGGCAACCAATTTCTCTCCAGTGCAACTCAGGGGACCTTGCGCTACACGCAGGCAATCCCCCCACCCCCCCAAAATTGGAAAGGTCAATGCATTTAGAAATCAGCACTGTCTCCATTCTGGAACAGAAGGCACCTACTCTGAAAGCTCAGGATTTCTGGGGAGACGGGGGCAGGACAGGGCAGGGAACAAGGGCATCATCTCCTTTGAAAGAAACCCTCCCAGTGGCAAAATCCACCTGCCCCAGCAAAACTGCTCCGAAACACCTGCTCAGCAAAGCAGGGGCGGTGGGGCCCCTCCTGCTTCCCTGCCTGCAAGTCTGCTTGGCTGCACCCCACTGGAGAACACTGAATACTCCCTCGGGTGCAGCTCATTAGCAGCACTTGCCAGGCAGCGCAGGAGGAGGAGCTGGGTAAACACATTTATTCAATATTTAACCGCAGATCAATATTTGCTCTTTGGTGTGCCAGGATGTGCAAACCAGACCAAATTCCCAAGCAAGGAAAATACCCCTTCTGCCTGGGCCAGAGGATTCTGGGCTTCCAGAGGATGCCCATGGGGGGGTGTCTATCTTGGGGGGGAACAAGGGGCTGGGAGATCCAAAGGGCCCTTGCTGGGCAGCGGGGAAGGCTCAGGAATGGAGGAAGGCAGCTCTTCCGGACCTCCTCTCAGCTAAGAAGGCCACCAGAGGAGAAGCCAGAGCAGAGAATATCTGGGCCTGTTTTCATGGCTTGGAAGAAGGGCCGCTCAGCAGGAAGACCTTCCAGGGCCAGCTCAGCTTTGCTGAATGGCCCTCGTTTGCACAACGAGTCAAGGTGCACGAGCTCC